AGTATACCGCAATGAGCCGGTATCCATCGAAATGTGATAGTGTGACCCACATTAATAGTCAAGGGGTCTAAGTACGCTATATCAAATGAAATCGGGTGATAGCTTGTTTTCTTTAAGAGGCTGAATAGTATTTGTAGTGCTCTCTTGAAGTCGGGGAAGATCACCCATCGTTTCGGCGTTTGCCGCAGGATGTAGAGGGCTGCTTCTTTAATTTCATGAATTTCTGCTGTCGTTGATGATGTCCTGCGTTGTCGCCGATACGATAGAGGCAACATAGAGGGAACATAGAGGCCATATGACGAAATTTCCAGAACAGTTGAGGCGTCAGTATAAATATGAGAACGCTGAGTGTAATGCTAGGCTAAGTAGAAGAGAGTAGTCTGCAGCAGTGCGGTCTGTGCAATACATCTTTTCGCTTCATTGATTCTTGGGGAAAACACTGTTTAATATCAAGAGGTGAAAGCGTCCACGGAGGAAATCTTGGAGGCATCAACTTCTTCGGCTGTCTAATAGCAGTAAGTTGCTGCATTTTCACAGCTAGGCCGAATGCTGAATTGCTGTAGGTGAGATGTATGCGGTACACAAAATGCTTATTCCTATGTACGACATGACGTAAATGAGTGCGCAATTTTTCTTGAGTGCAGATGGCACCTAGCGGAAGACATCTTGCTTACGCTACAGTTCCCGAGCCTGATGAGCTCTTCGGAAGGCCTAGACAAATTCTTAGGCACTTGTTTCGTGCGGCTTCTAAAGTTCTCTTGTTTGTTGGTGATAATCGGTGAAGCATCGGTAGACAATAACGCAAGGTTCCTTCGATATACGCTTTCTCAAACAGGACCATTGATGCGCACTTGCGTCCCCATCGTTTTCCCGCCATGAATATGAAGAGTTGTGATGCTGCTGCTATTCTCGCACGAAGTTTCTTCACATGAGGAGACCAGGAAAGACTTCTGTCGATGACTATTCCAAGCCGTACATAGGTCAGTGGCCGGTGACCGAGGAGGAGCGGACACTTGGTCATTTTCTTTCTTGTGAATGCGATGGATGTGCTCTTTTTTGGAGAAAACTGCATACCCCTGGGAGCCAAATACGCGGAAAGGTTCCGTAAAGCTTTTTTGAAGGCGTTGTTTGGTAAAAAAACGCAAACTTGAAGCACTCTAGATACAGATATCGTCGGCGTAAATTGTGATGTGCACTCCTCGCGGCAATATCCTTGTAATTTGTATCAGGGTGATTTTAAAAAGGAGTGGACTGAGCACTGCGCACAGGGGCACGCCTTTCTCTACTGCGTAGAACTGCGTGGGACCATTTAGAGTGCACATATATATCTTCCGTTCTTTTAAGTAGCTCTCAATTCATTTATACAGTCTCCCTCCAACGCCAAGACTGACCATGGTTGCAAGAATGGCATGGTGAAAGACGGAGTCAAAAAGCTGCTTTGATGTTGACAAAGATAGCTATTGGAATGCGTCCAGCAAAGAGGTCCTCTTCAAGTGAAGAGACAAGGGTGAGGACATTATCGATAGCTGATCTGCCTCGAGAGAATCCGTTCATTTTTTGAGGAAATTTGTCGTAGCTTTCTAAAAATCTAGTCATTCGTTTACGAACCATCCGTTATATAAGCTTGCCAACGCAAATCAGCAGGGCAAGATTTCGAAAAGAGGCGTAGCTTGTTGGCTGCTTTGAAGGTTTCAAAATGGGCATTATTTTAGCGAGTTTCCATTCTGCGGGAACCTCGCCAGACAGCCATGAAGAATTATAATCGTCTAGGAATCGTGGGCGGGAGGTGTGGGGTAGCTTTGCGATTGCTTCATAGCTTATTTCGTCGTGACCGGATGATGTGTGCCTGTTTTATTCGGTAATTGTGGTGTTCAGCTCTTCAATTGTGAAAGGCAAATCCAATGCTGGAACCGTCTTTCATGAGAAGTCACACATGTTGCTTGCGGGATAGCTCCAGGGTATTGAAGTTGATGATAACAGTGTGCAGTATCTTTCTGACAGCTCTTTGAGGGATTTCCATTTGTCTAGAGAAGTGCGGTGAAAGAGTGAAACTGTTAAAGTGGCGTTGGCATGCCTCTAAAGACCCACCATATTTTGGCTACCGGTTAATGAACGTCCAGTGTGGAGCAAAATTCGCGCCACCTTTGCCAGCTACGTTTATCCAGGTAACGCTGGATATGACGTTGTGTCCGTCGGCAGGCTCGAAGGTCTTCAAGACACTTTGTGCGCAATACTTTCCTTTCAGCTCGCCTGCGAATAGCACACAGTTTTCAAACTCCTCATCGTTTGACGGAAATCTCATTCTTAGATGAAAGACGTGTGCATGCTTTTAGGCAATGATACATTGCAGTGAGTAATTTTTCGTCCTTGGTGGGAGCAGTCGGCGTCTTTAAATGCATCCCAATCAGTAGATCAGTAGAACAGCTGATATCATGATTGGGTAGTGATCACTTCTCCGTGTTTTCACGTCGGTGCACCAGCGAAAGTTGCAGGCAACTGAGCTTGTTGCGAACGCGACATCGATGCTACTGGTAGTCGAAAATCCTCGTAGATATTTGATATTGCTGTCATTCAGAGGTTCAATGGAATGTTTTAAAAGTAGTTCTGCGAGCTTGGCTCCTCGCGCACAAGTGTGTGAGCTGCCCCAAATTTCATTGTGGGCATTGAAGTCTCGACAATTGATGTGTAAAGAAGGTGTTCTTGAAATCAAATTTTCTAGTCTTGAAGCATCGAAAGGCTTGCCTGGTTCCAGGTATACTCCAATGAGTGTGTATTCTTGTTTACCGATTGCTGTGATGGCGCACGCATATTCATTGTCTTTGTAGGGTGGGATGTCGATCTCGGAGGCCGGAATATCTCTGTGAATGCCTACAAGTAATGTGCTGATATGGTCTAGTCGTTTTGAATGATGAAAGTAATATTGTTCATTCTGAAATGTGGTCAGACTCATGATTCAGATATGTTGATGAAAGGGAATCGGTACGCTCGCACCAGCTGTCGAAAATCCGAAAACTTTAAGCGAAGCCCGCGAGCGTTCCACTGGAATATGGTGCATGTGCTAAGTAATTTATGTATTTTCAGTTCAGGTGGCGATGCCGTTGGGAAAGCCATGATTGCTACTTTGAAGAAATGCGCCCCTGTGGTGCGTAGGATGTCGACACCATGGGTTCTATTGCAAGGATTGCTTCTACCTCTGGAATACTTCTTGACGAGGGGTTTGCGCGGACAAGAGCTTTTAGGGCTGCAAGCAACATAGGAATCAGTATGCATGTGACATCTTGATCGGTGTTTCCGTGTTGATGTCTCTCGCAGATATCCTTGTCGTGTTGTAGTGACTGAGACTGGTGATGGTAGTGCTGGCTTGGTGGGTCTTTTGAGGTATGATGCGACGATTTTGATGAAGACGACAAGCCCATGAATTTTCCAGGTTTCTTTTTAGTAACACCTGCGTACGTGTTAGCAGATGTCTTTTGGCTTTCTGGTGGTTGCTCCTTGGAGACGTCTTTCATACTCGTGAATACCACATCAGGGTTAGGCGATGGTTCGCTCCGCCTTGGTGGTTTCCCTTGTGCTTGCTACAACGTGCGTGCGAGTGTAGCAGCCATATTTTTTATGCATCCTCCATATGAGGTAGGGTGTGTGCCACCACAGTTTGCATATTTAGGTTGTGCTCATGACGTGCATTCCTTGTGCGAGTGAGGCCCAGCACACACTTTGCAGCGCACAGGGCCTGTGCAGCGTCTTGATATGTGACCATGCCTTTGACACTTGTAACACTGTGCAGCTGCCCCAACGTATTCGGCAACCGGGTAACTACAGAATCCAAGCGTAACTCTTTTCGGTATCGGTGAATTCTCGCTAAATAGCAAAATGACAGATCGACGACGTACCTCGTTGACTTTTCCTCGCCCTTCGGGTGTGAAGGTGGTGAGCCTGCTCGCTCAAACGACTCCTTGATCCCGCAGATAGTCTTGTAGTTAGTTCTTGATTTGAGTAGCTCAGTGGGACATCTTGTATTTTTCTATAGTTCGCCGTGTATGAGTACAGAACTCGGGCTTCTACAGCTACGCCGGCCAGTTCAGTCACAGTGAGCAAATGGTTAGCAGTGGGTAGGGCTGACACTGTAACCACCAAGCTTCCATCCTTGTTGTGGCGATGGTTGAGAACATTCTCTTGGGCCGACGTTACGACCGCTGATGCCACAATGTTAGGGTTGACCTTCCATAAGCATCCGCTTTTCACGGTAGGTTGGGAATGCCAGTACCTCTTTTTTCTTGTAGGAAACAACCATGAAGGACGCTTGGTCCATATCGTCTTTATTTCCCTCCGAAGGATCGGAGCTGTCCTGTTCAACGCGCCGTCGCTTGTTTACGGGGTCTTGATCTGTAGTTCCCTCCACAAGGGCTGCAGGAGTAGCACTTGCCACCACTGCCATAGATGCGGCATCGAGTGCATCTGGCGGTGATGTTCCGTGTCGTGGTGGGTACGGCGCAGTGCGCCTAGAAGTCCTCTTCATGTGTTTCTTCAAATGGACGGGAGCCTCCAGGTCGTTACGGGTGGAGTGCGAAGCCCAGTAGAGTGAGAAGGACTGTCAGACTGAGAATAATATAAAAAAATAGTAACTGGCCTAGCACAGCTGATGCATTAGAACTTCTTCGTCTTCTTCTTTTCACTACTACTACTACTACTACTACTACTACTACTACTACTACTACTACTACTACTACTACTACTACTACTACTACTACTACTACTACTAAGACTGCTACTACTACTACTACTACTACTACTACTACTACTACTACTACTACTACTGCTGCTGCTACTGCTGCTAGGAGAAGATGCGCTAAGGGTGCTATAGCCACTAAACACCTATAGACACTGTACATCAATCTTTAATAATCATTCAACTGCATCTGTGAAGACACTTATTACTTTAGTGTGTTATACCGATTGCTATATGAGATGGATCAACTTTTTTTTCTATCTCTGGACCATAAGGTTCTCATGGAGCAGATACGCCTGAATGTGACCAACCTGCTGATTGCTGCAAATGTGAGAAATGACCTTGTATACATATGATCACTTTCTGAGTAGGTCGTGTTCAAATAGGTTACTTCGGTCAAAGTGCCTCCATTTTTGCTGCGTATCGCTAAAGCTCGAAACCTTGCTGACGCATACATGTTCTTGGGTCTTGGGATGCCCCGCGTATGTTATCAGTTAAAGCAAAATGTGGCAGAGTGACGATGTCTAATGGCAACACAATTACACCAGCAGGGCAAGAGTGCAACATTTTTTTTAAAAAGACTTGAAAAAACTTTGTCAAGTAATCATCCAATAACTCACTATCGGCGTTCATTGCCTCACTAATGAAATGTGGCAAAAATTGAATTGGCATAATAGCAGAGTCGCAGGAACCTAATGCACGCTAGAAGCCCTAGCTTTCTCTTGTTTACGTCTTTGTGAGTGCGTTCAAGACTACACTGATTGATTGAAAGGGTGGCGCATCTGAAAAAAAAAAAAAGACTGAATGTTACGTTTCAGTGCGTCATAACCTTCAGCAGCTTCTCTTTATTTTTTCTCTTTCTTATGTTTTTAATTGGCTCTATTATGTCCAGTTTCGCTCACTCACTTTCGCCATGACCACGAGTGCGTTACACTCGGATACAATTCTAGAAAAAGTCGAATTTTCACCACTAAACGACCTCCCTCAAGCCAGCAGTGTCGCGGCGGCTTTGAGACAAGCTTTGTGACACACTTTGAGAAGCTGCTGTGTGATTCGTCTCGTGAGCGCCACGCGAGAGTGGTTTGCCGTGTGGTAACGGCCACAACGTTACCTAAAGTTAACTAAAAGAGAATGTGGCGCTGCGATCGTTCAGCCATATTCAGCCAAATGACATCCAATTTTCAAGAAAGCAAAGAAAATCTTAAAAGCAGATGATTACTAAGTGCAGTAGACTATGATAAACATAACAAATATTAGAACCAAGACCGACCAGCATAAATAAAAGTACGACACGATGCCTTCAGAAAACCTTCAAAATCGTCATTGATATATTGAATAACCATAAAGTGAACGAGCTTTTTCAAAATTTTTCTCTTTATTATGTTGTACTTCATGGCTTTTCTTTTAATTATTGTTCCAGAGCTGCGCTTTGAAGCACATACCACGGGAAGAGAAATACGCCCTGGTAATGTTGGCATACTTTGCGGATTTTATTTCTGGATAGAGCAAAGCTGGTCCCAAACGAACCAATGCCATGTCACCCACTGCTTACTAACGTAAGCGCTGTCATCTACCTCATCTGAATACAGCCATTCAACTTCACGTCTGCTTCCGCAATTTATTCCTCTTCATTTTAGTGCATCGGAATCACCGAGGTGCTGTTTAATACTGGTAACATTGCTCGGTGGGCGGCGCTTATCGAAACCACGTAGATGGCAGCATCTATGCCTATGGCTTCAGCCATGCGCAAGAACACTACATGGCAGAACCCAAATGGTCCCATCAGAGCAACCATGTGATAGTGATACTCGACGTCAAACGATGCCATATGGACGTTGGACACGGTGACGTAGAAGCATGCATGGCCAGTGCTTCATGGGTCAACGCAACCGTGGATTAAGGGGTAATTCCCTGCGAGCAACTACACTACAACAAATAGATCACGCAGGTACAAACACTGTTCAAGTATGAGCACATCTTGTCCGGTGGCCAGCGTGGCTTTATCAAAGGTAGTTCTACTGAGTTCGCGCTGCTAAACTAAAAATAATTTTATGATTGATTGATTTGTGGGGTTTAACGTCCCAAAACCACCATATGATTATGAGAGACGCCGTAGTGGAGGGCTCCGGAAATTTCGACCACCTGGGGTTCTTTAACGTGCGCCCAAATCTGAGCACACGGGCCTACAACATTTCCGCCTCCATCGGAAATGCTAAAAATAATTTTAGACGACGTTGAAAAAAGGTTATTACCACTTCGTGTTTTATATACTAAAGTAAAGCTCACGATTCCGTCTGTGTTACGATTGCCTGTGTGACTAAACTACAACTGAACAGAACTTATGGAGTGGCGCACTCTCTGTAGCGTTGTCTTCTGGCAAGAGATCACGGTTAGGAAGAGCAGTGGGGTAGTTTGCCAAACGTATTTGACAACACTGCCATTTTAAAAAATACCGCTACCCTATCTCATATGGGGGTCACCTCTGAAAGTAATTTCGTTTCAGCTCCTCCAGGGCCCCTATATATATATATATATATATATATATATATATATATATATATATATATATAAGGGAAAGAAGTGTATACCTAAGGGCTCGTTTTCCGTGTTCTAACACAATAATAATGAGATCTAACAGACAGTAATACCAAGGAATGTACAGGGGAAGTTAATAGAACCAATGGAATGTAAATAAGAAGAAAGAAGAATGAAAAGTGGATGGAAAAATAACCAGCCGTGAGCACTAATCGAACCTACGACCTTCGAATAACTCGTTCGATGTTCTAACCACTGAGCTGCCTTTCCCTTATTTCATTGAACGAGGGTCTCGTGCTGGCAGACTTGGTGTATTTAGGTTGTATAGGAGGGACAATTAATCAGCTGCCCACTCATAATAAGTTCACGTGCTATGTGACGCCAAACATGCGAATAAGAGTGTTTCACACTCGTCGTTTGGCTTATAGATGGCGCTGACTCTCACTCCTACTTCTAAATTCACATATAAACCCAAAAAAGTGTATGGAGGGAAGGCCGCTGTGGTATCTCAGTGGTTAGAGCATCGAACGCGTTATTCGAAGGTCGTAGGTTCGATTCCTGCTCACGGCTGGTTATTTTTTCATCCACTTTTCCTTCTTCTTTCTTCTTATTTACATTCCATTGGTTCTAATAACTTCCCCTGTACATTCCTTGGCATTACTGTCTGTTAGACCTCATTAATATTGTGTTAAAACACGGAAAATGAGCCCTTAGGTATACACTTCTTTCCCTTATTTTCATTGAACGAGGGTCTCGTACTGGCAGACTTGGTGTGTTTAGGTTGTATAAGAGGGACAATTAATCAGCTGCCCGCTCACAATAAGTTCACGTGCTACGTGACGCCAAACATGCGAATAAGAGTGTTTCACACTCGTCGTTTGGCTTATAGATGGCGCTGACTGTCACTCCTACTACGCGGTCGCGGTCGGAGTGGTAGAGGTCGGACGTGTTTTTGGAGAGCTCCGGAATGACAGCTACAGATAAGTGTTTTTACATGTTTCCAGCTTGCCTCTATATGTAGCGTTATGAGAACGTAAGGCGCTAGCGTAAAGCTTGATTAGGTCTAGTACGGTGTACGTTTTTTTTATTAGTATTTTGTACTGTGTCTTTTTTTTCTCCAGCCACCACGTGGCTGAAGCCTGCGCGTAGACCGACCACGTGCAGGCGCAGGTGCTGTGAAGTGTAGCGTATTTATTTATTATTGTGGTTCTTTTTGGCTTAGATCAGTGTATTTTAGTACAGTTTTCTAACACGTGGGCATCGGTAAACTGAGCTAGCCATGGTCAAAAAGACCGTAAAATGTTCAGAGTGCGGGGTAGGGAGGAAGGTGGAAATTAGTGCGGAGGAGAAAGCAGAAGATGACGCCAAGTGTAGACAGTGCGAGTTCGAGAAGAAAATGAAAAATATGATGGCGGTCCAGAGTGGGCTCATGGAGAAAATCGCAGAGCTGGAGAATGCATTGGCGAAGGAGCGAGAGAAAACGTCAGCCATGGAAGAAAGGCTCCGGGCAGCCGAGAAGGGCCTATCGAAGGTCGTGAAAGGGAACGAAGACGCAGGTGACGGCGGAAGCATTATGGCGACGACCCCCCGTGCGGGAGAGATGAAGGAAACAGGCATGACAAAGGCAGATACATTGGCCACTGGGCCCAGCTACCGGGAAGTAGTTTTGAGGGAGGGAGGGAGCAAACCAGCAGCCGTGACTCACGCTAGTCACCTAGTCAGCAGCCAGGTGCAGGTTTCAGAAGGAATGTCTGAACAGGTCATCATCGCCGGCGACTCAAATTTAGTCCGATGCGCAGCGGCAATCAAAGAAAGGGTGAAAGGCGACAAGAGAGTTGCGATAGGGACGTTCCCAGGACAAACGCTGGGGACAGTAATGAGTCAAGCGGGTGAAAAACTCGCAGCTAAAGCTAACAATCGTAACCTCGTTGTAATTGCGGGAGGGTTAAATGACGTCCTGAAAAAAGAATCGTCAGGACTAGCGACGGCCTTGGCGAGAGGGGTGGATGACATGCGCACCGTGTCCCCCCAGGTGCAAATTGTAGTATGCACAGTACCGGAAGTACCAGTACGCAACGTCAACCTACAAAGAGCGGTTGTCGACGCAAACAAAGAGATATGGCGAATTAGTCGAGAGAAGGGTTTCGAGGTAGTGGATTTAAACAGGGAAGTGCACAGGTGGGGTGGATTCCAAAGAGACAAGATTCATTTCGATAAGAGGCTTGGACACGAGGTGGGCTGGCGACTGGCAGGACGCGCAGTAGCTTTTTTGGGGGGCTCACGGGCCCTTCGGAGTCCGGGGTAGCTCGTAACAGGGAAAACAACCAGGAGGACGCTTTGACAGGTAGAATTGCGAAAAAACCAGAAAAAGGTAAAAGAAAAGGAAAAAGGCACGTGTTGCAATTAGTTACATAAACATGCAGGGTGGCAGAAAGAAGGCAAAATGGTTAGAGATTGAGGAGCAGTTAAACAAAGAACAGATAGGCGTGTATGCGGTTACAGAAACACACCTTAGAGACTTGGAAGAGCCACCACATATTAAAAATTATGTTTGGGAAGGGTGTAACAGGACCATATCGGAAAGGAAAGGTGGGGGTGTAGGAATGCTAATTCACTGCGGAGCCAAATGGGTTAGAGTGAAACAGACGTGTTCAGAGCACCTCTGGGTTCTGGGCACAGTAGGTGGAAAGGAAACGTGGCTAGGGGTAGCCTACTTGTGGACGGGGAATAACTGCAGAGAAAAGAATCAGGAGATAGTGGATTGCATCAGTGCGGATATTAAGGAATTTGGTAATGGGGCCGAAATCATCCTTCTAGGGGACATGAATGCCCACATACATGACCTTGACGGATATTCAGACACCAATGGGAAGTTATTACTAGATCTTTGCGAGCAACATAGTCTGGAGATAGTTAACACGGGGCCTAAATGTGACGGCCAGATCACATGGGAAGTCGGAAACAAGCAATCAAGTATTGATTATTGTCTCATGACTGAAGGAATTTACCACAAACTGACAGAAATGAGGATAGACGAGGAAGGCATTAACAGCTTGGGTAGTGTTCATAAACGAATAACATTACAAATTGGATACGAAACTGAAAATATGAGCATGGAATCAAAGTCTGGCAGCTCGTATTTAAATGACAAACAAATAATAAATATAGCCGCAAGAATCGAGGAAGAAGTAGGCGAAATACCAGGCAAGGACTGGGAGTATAGTGAGCTGTTACATCTAATGACGAAGGAGATAGGGAAAGAGAAGAAAACTGTTTGCTGGAAAGGAAAAAGGAAGCCAAAAAGTTGGTGGAACAAGGAAATCCGGGAGGCGATCGAGAAGCGACGCGAAGCATCACGGGAGCATAGAAAGGCAAAAAAGGAGAAGCGGCCGCAGGACGAAGTCAAAAAAATATGGGAAATATATTTAGAGAAAAAATCCCTTGTACAGAAATTGGTAGAGGCAAAAATTAAAGGTGAAAATGAACGCTGGATGACAGAGATACACGAAAAAAAGGAGGCCGCGCCTAGGATTTTTTGGAGCCACATAAAGGCGCTAGGTAGGAAGTCTGTCACAACGCAACAACATATTCTAGATGAAGGAGGAAATCAATTGGAAGGGTACGAAGCGCTAGGTTACATCCAAAAGGTAACAGCCGATTCGTTTCAAAAGAGCGTCCAGGGGATCTCCCCGGTGAGTAAACGTGTGGCGGAGAAAGCAACAGAGGAAGAGCTAGTACTTGATAATTTCAACTGAAAAAAGGCCGAAGGAAAAATTCCAAAGCGCACTGCCGCGGGTTTAGATGGGATTCCCGTTAGCCTCGTTAACGAACTAGGACATAACACTAAAGAAGCATTGTTAAAAGCAGTAGAAAAAAGCTTAAAGGACGGACAAATACCGGACAGTTGGCGACAAAGTAGAATGAACTTAATCTATAAAGGCAAGGGAGAAAAGGACAAGATTCGCTCGTATAGACCACTAACCATTACATCGGTACTATACAGGATGGCAATGCAAGCAGTAAAAATGAAAATAGAAACATGGGCCGAACATAAAGATATTTTGGGA